AATAAGTATAACCCGTAAAAACAAAGTTTTTCACTATAAATCCTTTATATGCGTGGCAGCGAACTTAATATAAAGGATTTAAAAATATATTCGCCTGTGGAGGACGCGGGGCATCGATCCCGCAACCTTTGGCATGGGAAGCGAGGGCGCTACCAACTGCGCTACTCCGCCACGGCCTGTGGAGGGGTTACGCTCTGGGCTCTTATACTGTGACGTTCAGCCAAAGCGATGATTGAGTTCTATTTGAATATATGTAAAATAAAATTATTTTTCCTAAAAAGTGTAACATTTTGGGAATTTTTTTTCACGAACATTAATTGTCTGGCACAACGAGCCTGTGTGCAAAATGTCAGCTCGATTGGATCACGGGAAGTGGGTTAAAAAACGACCGAAAGATTTGCACGGTCGTAAGCAAGCAAGCAAGCACGCAAGCACGCAAGCAAGCAAGCATGCGAACTTAATATAAAGGATTTAAAAAGGGTTTCAAGTGTTACATCAGGAACCTCCTGAAATTATTTGACTTCTGGGCTAAATTACTTTTTGCAATAAGAGATATGCATACAATTCCTTTACCGGTACAATATTGAGATATTGTCTCATTCGTTATGGTTCCATTTTGGTATCTTAAGTGATATCAGTGTTAAGGTATCAAGCTGACACGTTTTTCATGCTCCCAGTGCTTATCGTGTCATTGTATGCTGGGTTCATTGCCTATTCGTTTGTAGCTAGCCAGGACATTCATGAGATTTGTGACAAAGATGTGTTTATCTCATCGGATTCCTCCAGTACAAATACATGAGCACCTCTTTCAAAAAGGAGTCTAGAAATTAGACGTGGAGAAAATAGAAATTATCCGCAGATATATTTGTTTTTGTAACCATACAATTTGATTATTTCCCTCAGGATGTACAGGAATAGTATTATGTTTTCACCACAGAAATTACCTTTGCATATTGGCAGGAAACGAATTCAAGACTGTAATGAATTACAGTAACGTAATGCAGTGTGATGACGTCAGGTGGAGGTAAGGTTGGGTGACGTCATTCATTCATCTGTTGGCGAGGGGTGTTTGGGGGGGGTTGTCATTCATTGAGCGGTGGTGGGGAGGGAGGGAGGGGGAGGATCTTGCAGTGACGTCACTCATTGAGTATTTGGCTGGCCTGGTGGAATGACGTCATTCATGAGCGTTGGGTTGGGGTATGCTGACAAGCAGGATTACGTCACTAATTGGTGTGTCGGGAGGGGGGGGAGGTCAGGTGGGGATCACTTCAACCGTTTGTGCGTTTGACTGGATGTGCAATTATGATGATGTCACCGCATTTTGGAGTAGGCGCGTGTGTGTTGCGAGTGAGAACAACAACAACAAAAACAAATTCGCGTGACAAATTGCAATTCGGTTTAACTTCCAACGTCTATACTTTTCTCAACCCGCCTCCTTATATATATCCGCCTCGGTTTAGCTTTAGCATCTCTCTTTAAACAATCCCATTCATTGGCCTTGGTATTCTAATGAGTGACGTCACTAAGCGTGAGGCTTGTCAGTCTCAATGAACGTGACTCCTTTAAGGTGGTGGGGGGAGGGGGGAGGGGGGCGGGGGGTGGGGGGCGGGGGTGTCGATGAGGTGGGGGAGGAGCTTCTCGCTGCGATGACGTCACGCGCACGTCCCCATGGGATAGGGGGGGCGGCGGGCGGGGCTATGGATGACGTCTTCGCGCGCGCTATTGGATCTCGCGACATCACGTGTCAGTTCGCCCCGCCCCCTTCCACCTTCACGAGACCCCCCCCCCTACCCCTCCATTGTTTCCCGCGCATTGTGAGCGGAGGGAACTGAGCGGCGGTGGCGGCGGCGGAGAAGAACGTCGTGAGGCGGACATTGCTCGCTCGCTCGCTCGGGGTGCGCGGACGTCTTGTTTTTGAGGCGATGTTTGCTTGTCGTGATGACGGTGGGGACGGTGGGGGCGGTGTGGGAGGGGGGCGAAATCGCGTCGTGAAGTTGGTGGTTTTGATGAGGCGGTTGTCGGTCGGTGTTGGCCTCCGCTTGTGGCGCTTGGGAAATGATCGAGGCGAGGTGTGGAGACGGTGTGTGTGGAGAGAGGGTTAGGGTGGTGTGTGTGTGTGTGTGTTGCGGGGGGGGGGTATGGAGAGGTGTGTGGGGTGTGTGGAGGGTTCGGTGTGGGGGAGGAGGGGGACGTGGTGAGGTGTGTTGGTGAGTGGAGCGTGTGTGTGTATGTGTGTGTGTAGACTGTTAAGGGGATGTGTGGAGAGGGTTCGGGTGGTGTGTGTGTGGAGAGGTGTGTGGGTGTTCTCTGTGTGTGTGTGGAGATGGTTCGGGTGGTCTCTCTGTGTGTGTATGTGGAGAGGTGTGTGGGTGAGAGGAGGTCTGTGTGTGTGTGTGGAGAGGTGTGTGGGTGAGTGGAGGTCTCTCTGTGTGTGTGAAGAGGTGTGTGGGTGAGTGGAGGTCTTTTTGCGTGTGTGGAGAGGTGTGTGGGTGGTCTCTCTGTGTGTGTGTGGAGAGGTGTGTGGGTGAGTGGAGGTCTCTGTGTGTGGAGAGGTGTGTGGGTGAGTGGAGGTCTTTTGCGTGTGTGGAGAGGTGTGTGGGTGAGTGGAGGTCTCTGTGTGTGTGTGAAGAGGTGTGTGGGTGGTCTCTGTGTGTGTGGAGAGGTGTGTGGGTGAGTGGAGGTCTCTGTGTGTGTGTGAAGAGGTGTGTGGGTGGTCTCTGTGTGTGTGGAGAGGTGTGTGGGTGAGTGGAGGTCTTTTTGCGTGTGTGGAGAGGTGTGTGGGTGGTCTCTGTGTGTGTGGAGAGGTGTGTGGGTGAGTGGAGGTCTGTGTGTGTGTGTGAAGAGGTGTGTGGGTGGTCTCTGTGTGTGTGGAGAGGTGTGTGGGTGAGTGGAGGTCTGTGTGTGTGTGTGAAGAGGTGTGTGGGTGGTCTCTGTGTGTGTGGAGAGGTGTGTGGGTGAGTGGAGGTCTGTGTGTGTGTGTGGAGAGGTGTGTGGGTGAGTGGAGGTCTTTTTGCGTGTGTGGAGAGGTGTGTGGGTGAGTGGAGGTCTGTGTGTGTGTGTGAAGAGGTGTGTGGGTGGTCTCTGTGTGTGTGGAGAGGTGTGTGGGTGAGTGGAGGTCTCTGTGTGTGTGGAGAGGTGTGTGGGTGAGTGGAGGTCTGTGTGTGTGTGTGGAGAGGTGTGTGGGTGAGTGGAGGTCTTTTTGCGTGTGTGGAGAGGTGTGTGGGTGAGTGGAGGTCTGTGTGTGTGTGTAGAGGTGTGTGGGTGGTCTCTGTGTGTGTGGAGAGGTGTGTGGGTGAGTGGAGGTCTTTTTGCGTGTGTGGAGAGGTGTGTGGGTGGTCTCTCTCTGTGTGTGGAGAGGTGTGTAGGTGAGTAGAGGTCTCTGTGTGTGTGTGAAGAGGTGTGTGGAGAGGTGTGTGGGTGAGTGGAGGTCTCTGTGTGTGTGGAGAAGGGTTCGGGTGGTCTCTCTCTGTGTGTGGAGAGGTGTGTGGGTGAGTAGAGGTCTCTGTGTGTGTGTGTGGAGAGGTGTGTGGGTGAGAGGAGGGTTCGGGGGTGTTGTGTGGGTCAGAGGAGCGGGATGTTTGTGTCTGTGTTTGGGTAGGGGAAAGGGTGAAGTGTGGAGAGGGAGCAGTCGAGTCGTGGTGACGACTGCCTCCAACCCGATGGCCTGAGTTCTAGGCCTCCCCTAGGTCGACTCGGCCTCAAATGAGTACCTGGTGCGGTGTGTAAACATCGCCACTCGGCTGGCCACCAACCTGTGCTGTGCCGGCCTTCAATAGGTGCTACTCGCTAACAGCACTTGCCCCCAAGTCTGTTCAGGTTATATGGCTGATCTGTGTCTGATCGTCATGTTTATGTGCGTGTAAGCTGACTAGATTGACGCTGGTGTGGAGGTGTTTGTGGTGTGCGTGTGTGATTGTAGAGACAGGTGGGTATGAATCAGTTATATTCGGGTGGATGTGGAGGGAGTGTTAATAGTGTGTAGGTATGTGGAGATGTTTATGTAAAGGATTATTATTGAGGGCTGTGTCAATTGTCTAAGCTGTGTAGGTGTGTGGTATAGAGGCCTTTGTGGTAGGGGTCTACTGAAGATGTGTGTGTGTGTATAGAGGTGTGCGTGTAGGTGTCTGGAGAAAGCTGGGGAGGTTGTCGAGAGCGTTGTGCGTCAATGAAATGACAGTACAGTACACTGTAAGGGTGTCAAAAATCTCAGTCACGTAGCCCTTAACACCTGGATCTGTCCCATGACCCGTCGGCCACCTTTCACGCGTCGTGTGGCCTCTGAACCTCTACCCTGGCACAAGAGCTGTGGTAACGTCACCGCCAATGTTGTGGCGAATGGCGGCTGTTATTAGGATGTGCAGGTGTGTGCGTGTTGGTTTGTGTGTAGGTATGATTATGGACCTTAAGGGATGTCTCCAGTTGTGTACGTGTGTAAAGTAGTGCAGTGTTGTTTGCATGTGATTTTTTTTTGCGTGAAATAATGTGCCTTGGGGTGTGTATGTGGATCAGTGTATTATTGGTTTACATGTTTAATTCCCGGCCATGGCTAACAACAGTGGTAAGTGTTTTCAAGGCTTGTGCTGGGCCTCTCCGAGGTTGATTTAGCATTAAATGAGTACTGTATCTGGTGTGGTGTTTGAACGTGTTATGGCGAGGGTGACAAGTGGCTGAGCTTGGTGCTGACCAGACCACCCTCTTTTGTGCTATATGCCGGCCTTAATAAATACTAACATTGATGATTGTATTTTCTTTGACATCTGTATGGATATACAGGGTGGCTGTAGATGTTTATACAGATATAGAGGACTCAGTCTTTAATTGTAGAGGTGCTTGTGTAGACTCACTTATATTATTAATAAGTATTAGTGTATGTGGGTTCATCTTGGTTCTTTCGGTAAAGTCACGTAGAAGGGAGATAATAAAATAATAAAAATTTAACATAATTGTATTATTTTGTTTTGTTTTATTTTTATTATTGTATTATCTCCCTTCTACGTGACTTTACCGAAAGAACCAAGCAGATGAATCCCTGCAGTCACGAAAGCTTTAAATCGAAATGTACGTGGGTTGTTGAGTCTTCATCGCTGTCAGCGCCATACTCTTTAAACAATGTCACGGGGATGTTATCTACCTGCTGTACAGCACACTTGGCTTAGGTAATGCCACGCTGAAAGTACCTATGATAGTGACAGACATTGAACCTCGAACTTGGTGTGAATTTGGCTTGGCTGACGAGCTGGTTTTCCAGGCTCCGCCACCCAATTGCAGACACGGACAAAGACAAGGAATAATCCCCCTTTACTTTAACAGGCTTGGGGCAAGTGCTGTCAGCAAGCACTTATGAAACCCGGCATGGTACACGAGAGGGTGGATGTCCAGCACTACGCCGACCGCATTTGTCTCCCCAGTAGTGATGTTTACACTGCACCAGGTACTCATTCGAGGTTGAGTCGACCTTTTTGGAGGCCCAGGACCTGTTCAGATAATTGTCACTGGTGTTGGCCGTGAGTGGGCATCGAACCCGGATCGCTGGGTTTATAACGCAGTGCGTTAACCCATGTGCCATCGCTCCCCACACAGACACGAACAAATATACAACCATATGGGTCCATTGATCCATCCACACAGATGTGCGTGCAAAGACAACTATCCACTGCACAGCCTGGATGAATTGTTGGGGTAATTGTTGTTGACAAACGCCTATTAACTCATAAATGGCTCGTGAGCGACCAGTGTGGCCAGTATCATGCTTGGACCAACTTTGTCTACCTAGTTCTGATGTTTACACGATGCACAAGGTGTTCACGTGAGGCTGTGCTGACCTAGAGGAAGCCCAAACCAGATGCAGGTTTAACTCGCTACTCATGTTAATCCTGCCTAAAAATCTAACTCCCATGACCGGGTTTGGTTTGAAGTGGGGGATATTTTTCTGTGCTTGTAATGTGCCATTCAGGAGCTAGGTGTATTGAGAATGACTTATCGGAAATGGAAAATACGAGTGAAACAAATATTAAATGTTGTTTTTGTAATTTGTAACCTGCAGATTGCGTGAGCTTAGTAAAAATAAAGTCACATGTGAAATTAATTTTCCAATTGGTCCTTTGGCCTTGTACATTTTAATAGAGTAGTTCATTTAAGGCTAAGCTCCGAGAGCTTACATCCGTTGCTCTTCAATACATCAAAACAGATTAAAACCCTTTAATCTTCTTTTTTCCATAGGTGCTTCAATGGAGAGGGTTGAGAAGGCCTGGATCAGCTTGAAGTACAAATGCCACAGCTGGTTTAGTGAGTGTCGTGAAGCTGAGGGGTCGACCGCCTCTCATCCGGAGGGAGCTCCCACTGCCCAGCAACAGCAAGAATCGCCGGCTCACGAGAGCCCCGCAATGGCTGCGATGGAGAACGCCTCGGGCTTGAACGTGGAGGTGGCGGATAGCGGTGACAAAGCCGCAAAGGGCGAAGGCGGCTCTGACATTGTTGTTATTGTGCCAGAGATCACGGTGGGGTTCAGTTCTCCCCAGGATGGCGGCTCGGGGGCAAAACCAAAATCCAAAGTCGGTGCTGTTAACTCATTGAGAGATTCGTACTTCCGCCATGCTCCCTGGGCCAGCAAGAAAAAACGCTCCCAGAGCGGTGGTGGTAGTGGTGATGGCTGTGGCGGTGACGATGCTGCCGCCTGCTTGGATGCAGACGACCTTAATGTTCAGCCGAGGCTGGTGGGCGAAGAGGGCCGCGATGGTAGTGCTGACGCTGAGGTGGAGAGCGCAGAGGCGCGCGTGTGCACGGAACACCGCTTTGAGCAGACCCCTGCACGCTCGCGGACGCTGCGTAACCGCCTGCAAGACACCGTCGGGCAGTGCTTCCCACTGTGCGGCACCGGTGCGCGTCGCCACCACGCCTCGTATGGCGCTTGTGACAATAGCAACAACAGGCTGTCTGTCGGGCAGCTTTCGAGCAAACGCAAGATTCACTTGTCGGAGCTCATGCTGGACCACTGCCCGTTCCCAGCAGGCTCGGAACTGGCACGCAAATGGCACCTGATCAAGCAGCACACGGCACCAGTGGGAACGTCGGTAGGGCCGACGCGTGGGCCGTTCCTCACGGCTTCGCTAGACGTGGCGGAGGATGAGGAGGATGCCCTGCGGGAGCGCAGGAGGATGAGCATAGAGGAGGGCGTGGACCCGCCACCTGATGCACAGATTCACACCTTCGAGACAACGGCACAGATCAACCCGTTGTGCAAACTTGGCCCCAAGCTGGCACCTGGCATGAGCCAGCCGAACACACCGCCAGCGGGGCACAGTGGCGCCGGCGGCGAATCCGGCTCTGAGGATGATGAGCTGCCCCTTGCAGTGCTCGCGCCACCCCAGAGACACCGGCTGGAGTCCAGCTCGGCGCTCATGTTCAGCCAGCTTCTCTGTCAACAGGTGCAGCAGCAGCTGCAGCAGTCGGCGGCGGTGATGGGGGCAGCGGCGGGGCCTGCGGTGGGCGGGCTGGTGCGCCTCGCGCACACGCAGATCGACTACATCCACTGCTTGGTGCCAGATCTGCTGGACATCACACAGAGCCCCTTCTACTGGGGCGTGATGGACCGGTACCAGGCGGAAGCGTTGCTCGAAGGCCGTCCCGAGGGCACCTTCCTGCTGCGTGACTCGGCCCAGGAGGACTACCTCTTCTCTGTAAGCTTCCGGCGCTACGGCCGCTCGCTGCACGCACGTGTCGAGCAGTGGAACCACAACTTCAGCTTCGATGCACACGACCCTTGTGTGTTCCACGCGCCGGCTGTCACGGCGTTGCTGCGCCACTACAAGGACCCGAGCGCATGCATGTTCTTTGAGCCTCTGCTCGCCACGCCGCTCCACCGCTCGTTCCCCTTCAGTCCTGCAGCGCCTGTGCCGCGCCTCCATCTGCGGCCGCGTCACCTACGACGGCATCGATGCATTGCCGGTGCCACACGTGCTCAAGGATTACCTCAAGGAGTACCACTACAAGCAGAAGGTGCGCGTGCGTCGGCTGGACGAGCCACTATGGCTGCGCTGATGACAACGGTACGGTGGTGGTGGTGGCAGCGCCGCAGGGTCCAGCACTGGGAGCATCGAATGCTCGGTTGGGTTTTAACAAATCGTGAGTTAAGCTCGATCCTTATGAGCACGGTTTGTGCATTGTAAGAATGGATTATATATACGGTTCGTACGTGATTGATTCGTAGAAACTGGAGTTTCGTCAACACCTTTGCAGCCACTGAAAGTTCTACGTGCACCACAATGGCAAAAAAAAGAAAATATTCGCGAATCCAATCGTGATGCCAATTTGTGAAAATTCATCAAAATATAGGAGAATTGTTCCAAGTCCACTGTTCACCTATGGATTGGGGGGGTGCACCTCTGAATAGAACCGCCTGTGATATTGTTTGCATTATTGACTCGTGTGAGAATACCTACACATTTTAATTCAACGTATGACAAGACATCAAGAATTTTACCTGCCTCAGCAACAGGTTGGCCAACCACGCATACGGAAGTTTTCCTGTGGCAACTAGCAGCAGCATCAATTCTATACGGAGAGAAGAAATGGCAATATTCGTCACCACCAGCCAAGAAGATGCACTAACGGTGACTTAGGGGTTGAGGTGAGGGCTTGAGTTTGTAGCTTTACATATTACATGTGCAGGAGAGAAATTATATGTGCGTACTGCATATGTGAACACACGTATACACGCACGCATACAGGACACGGGTAAAAATTAGAGGTGTAACAATTCTGTAAAAACCCGAATCGTGGGTTAATTTGTGTCTCAAAGAAGTGGTGATTTTGGATTCCTATATGTAAAGCTTTCACGTGACTCCTGCAACCACTGAAGGCCCCGCCATTCACAAAGTAACAAACACAAATATTTTCTTGAATCAAATCGCCACCTTGCATTGGACCATTTGTCGAATACCGGGGGAATGAATCATTACACCCTTAAGTTAATAGCTTTCTGTATTTTACACAAGGTCGCACCAACGAATTAGACTTTCGACTTACGTGTTGTATGTATGTGAGTACATTAATTGTGATTAATATATCAATATTTGTGTAAATGTATATATTCACATGCCAGGGCTGAGACTTTTGAAGTGTCGCATAAAATATTTGAAGTTCTCATGTGTGTATATGTATATACACATATATGCACCATACTTCTAAGTCCTAACGCGAATGTGTGTAGCCATTGCGAATTCGCAAACTTAGAAAATGTTGAGTGCAGGTTTCTGTACCTTTTTATAATGATTACTGGCTACTGTCGTTTGACAGCTGGCTGACCAAAGGTAGACACTGACCACTTAGTGATTTTATTGTCGTGTGTTGTATTTGTATAACGGTGGGGAAAAAACGTGTTTCTAAAGTAATAAGAAACGATATGAGAATTGGCATGCAGTCTTGCGAGGGTAGTGGGGTCCTAAACCGTATTGTGCACTAGCAGAAAGCCAACAACCACTGTTGCTTGCTCTGCCTTACATACTTGCACATATTACAAGAGCGCCTTCAGAGCGCTATGAACCCACGTTGAAACCCTCCACCTTTATTAGCGTACTTAAAAGGGCGGTCTTTGTTGACGGTAGTTATGAAAGGAATATCTATCTCATGACTGGCCGTGAGGGCGCGTTAAGCCCTCTGGCGGGTGGGCCCTGCGTACGTGCTCCCTGCGATTAAAATCGCCCTGGCTTCAATCTCGGTTGAGCTGACCGTCCACGCTACTGCAATAAAATCCCGTGATCGCCAACTGTAGGTGCTGTGCATGCAAGCAGGGTGCTGGAGATTTGAAGCCGTGTGCTTTTTTTATATCTCGAAGGAATATAAATAATAATACAAGTACTATGTGTAGAATAACCTCAATACATCTGTAACACTCCCTTTTTTAACTTGTGATCCTTTCCAACGTACAACTTTACAACTGCAATGTACACTTACTTCAAAATACCGTGTCAGAAACATGTTTGCTTCTGATATCTGCAAGCAGGCATGTGATAAACCTTTTTAAAGTTGAGAGGGCAGGTAGCCATGGGAACCTGCAAGTAGCCAAGGAGCCCAGCAAGGTGATTATTTGAGCAGGGTACAGCTTTACAGCATTCCCCGCCGTCAAATGTTTGGGCAGAAACAACTGCACCTGCCCGTGATGTACTCACACCCATGTACTTACTACGTGAGGTGTAAGTACCTTGCTACTCTGCATAGATTATTTGGCTGCTATAAATATCCACATGATAAGCCACTTCTGATAACGAGCTAATAGCTCAGTGGGCTTTCCCTGGTGAATATATTAGTTTCGAGTTTAAATAGTTGGCAGGATTACAGGCGTGTTTAATTTCGCCCAGCGATATGACAGGGTACTGGTTTACACTGCTTCAAGCACCCAGCCATTTATTAAAATGGTGTAATCTTGAAACAATCCAGATATTCAGAGCTTACTGTATACTCATTGAATGACACAAGAAAAGTATTGTCCACAGCCCTCTGAAACGTGGACATTTATGAATTGCTTATGATGACGATTGCTTACACTAATGTTAAATGTTATTTACATAAGGTTATCCACACATGGCAGTTCTCAGTCTGGATAGGTGATCTTGTTTGGTTGAGTCATAAATGCCATGATGAGACAGTGAGGCGGAGTTTGCCCTGTGTCTTTTGAGACGGGCGATGAAACTTAAAATGTGTTCGGAGTTAACGCAAGAGCGGGTGGCACTTGCTAGACTTCTGTAACCAGAAGTGCAGTTGACATTAAACAACAATTGGTCGGCACTTTCCCTCAGCCTGAGCGGCGCACGCGCAAGATACGCGTGTGAACATCGCTACCACCACCACCACCACCACCAGAGGCCGTCATAAATCCGCAGACTCTGGTGCGATCGGTTTGTGAACGTATGCAGGTGGCGCAGCCATGCGGTCACGTTGGTTTGTGGTCGAAGGCACTTCTCACTTTGATTTCAATGTCACATTTTTGTAAGCGCCGACTTCCGTCTCTGCGGCCGCCTTCCACGTCTCTGGTTCATGGGCTTGAGCAGATATCTCAATCGCCATCGCCACCAGAACCGATTAAATGTAGCGGGATGTTTTGTAATACAAAAAAAAGCAATGATACTACTGATGGCCTATTCATTTGAAACATTGATCACATTTTACTTATATTGACCTTATAATTACATTGATAACCACTCAGGTTTTACCAGGGTGGAACGGTAACGCAGTGGTTCGTGTGCTGTACTGTGAACCTGGCGACCTAAGTTGATTTTTTGACCATTGCTAACAGCATTGGTGAGTGATATTGGAACCAGTTCTGGATGCCCCATACTTCACCAATAGAGACAGGATGGGAAAGCCTTCATCCAGCATTGGATTGACAGGTGGCTATGAATTATAATTACCGGGACTCCTCTATTTACGAATGAGTTAGGTTTCAGAGGTCTGTTAAGGCTATTTGTAAGTCCAACTTTACTCCTGTCGATTCCAAACATGTACGGCATGTACACTAAACACGGGGAATGGCTTTAAAAGTTGGATAATCTTCTGTAGATGTAGATGCCAATGGTTCTTCATGTTCCGTGGATGTAGATGCCACCACCGCCATCTCTGTGCGGTAGTTAAACTTATGACTCTCGGTCCGAACAGACAACTGGACATACGGGGACAGGTTTGTTCGTATCTCTGAAAATTCGTAAGTCGAATGTTCGTAAGTAGAGGAGTATCAGTATGTGAATTTAATATTTAATGCTCTCCTGTGTTATTCATTTCTGCTCTAACCCATGTATTGGATTGCCCAGTGCCGGTGTGAGCAGGTGCCACACACTGTTGCAGTCAGCACTGCGAGTGTGACCTGCTTTGTGGGGTTTTCAACTTGTATAAATACAGAGAGACGAGTACACACGGGAAGATGTGCCTACAATTGCAGCTGGACACAATTGCGGTGTATGTGAATTGTTTTTTTGTAGAATATGTCCGAGCCAGTGCTCTGACCCCAGCTCCACACACACACACACGTGGAGCTGTAGTTTGGTCGTTGTACTCGTTATAGCTGTGAGCATTTAGTATTTGTTCGCGTAGTCACTGTTCGTGGTGCAGTTTGGCAGGCCAAGTCGCCGCCGCTACTGCTGCTGATGAAGTTAATTTATGAACACGGAATCGCGTTATATGAGCCTTGCACTCCTGCTGATGTTTAATTAAAGCCTAGCTTGGTTCTGAGCTGGTAGTAGCCGAGTAGCTTTTACATCACCTTTTAAAGGACGTGTCACGTTTTACGTGCTGTACTCTGTTGAAGTCTCCCATCTGAATCGTCATCTGAACTTGCTGTAGATGTAGGACGTACACTAAACTGTGTATTTGTGCGTAGTCACATTGTCGTGTATTTTATTGTTTGTACAACGCGTTTTGTTTATTTGCCTATTGCACACATGAAAGAAGCAGCTGGTGAAGCGTCACTCAAAGCACAGCCATATTTGACTGAAGTCGGGCGTGGTGTGAACCCTACACGCGCAGCCGTGAGTTTGTCTCGTTGCGCCAGTAGGCCAGGGCCAAGGACTCGAACGACACCAACTACATATACGCAACGGTACAGGTTTCAACAAGGCAAACAAAATTTCACGATTCTCGCTTGATGGAAAACCTGTGGAACCAGGCCGCACGCGTTCCCTGCGTGTTCTTCCTTGCAGAGATACTTCACGTTGAGTGTGGGTCATTGGCATCTTGTCTTTTTCGCCGGAGACGGGTTTGAACCCCCCCCCCCCCCCTCTTAAAAAGTGTGGCTTGCGTGCTGCACGGCTTGAATAGTGTGCTGTGTCCCGTACCGCGCACCGTGAACCATTGGGTTATTTGCACTGCTGTTAAAACGACTGCACAAGTGCTGTATTGTGGATTTGCATCCTTGCTATACCAAGGCACACTACTTAACTGTTTAATAAAGTAGCACAAGCCGGTGCAAAATTACACCACCATTCTGCTTTGCTTTCATACGGAACGAAAATATGGCAATGATGATTTATTTCTGTAAAATTCTAAATGTGCTTTCTGCGTATTTAAGCGCGTTCCGGCTGTGTGGTATTATCAATGCGCTGCCGATATTGTTGCGAAACGGGGGAGTGTGGGAAATTCCCAGCAGTTTTAATCTCACTCATGGCACGATAGAGCTCGTGACTTCACGGGTCTCTGAAGGAGGAACACAACGAGCAGCCTCTTCCTGCATGCACAGTACAAATACATCAGTGTGGGTGATGAGTCATGCATGGTGAGAGGGGCAAATTATAATAATGGGGGGGAAATCCATTCGCATTAGGAGCATGAAGAGGTGCATCATTGGCAGCAACAGTCGGTGAGCTCGATGTATCAAGCATTATTGTACATAATAGTAAATGTCCCAAGCCAATTAAAACATGATGGATGCAGTGGGAATGTAATGCCTGAACCGAGTTGAAAAGAGTCATTCTCAGCTTTGACGGATGGATTTCCTGCCCGTTGGCGGTGTTCCCATGCTTCATACTCGGAGCAATGACTGCCAAAGTGGCTTAAGGAGGTGTGGCTTGGCTGATCAGCTCCAATAATATGATTGATCATTCACTAATAGTCTCAAGTTACAGTGCGACTGCACAAAAAAACCCATGTTCGGAAATGAAATTAGAAAATTCCACATTCCGTATAATCTACAACGTCTAGCAGCGGGTGTGAGGATGGTGCACGGCCAAGTGTGGATACGAGTTATTTGAAGGTATCACGACTGATGTCAAAACTCCTTCCAGATTCCTTCGCTGCTCCTGGGAGAAAATAATAATGACAAAACTTGGACATCGCGTTCATGTTATTTTATTTCTGTTTGGTTAACATTACTTCCCCTCTTTCCCCACCGTTCCCTCTTGCATCTTCTTCCCCTCCGCAAATACACTGCTCCCGGCCGTTACTCCTACCGTGGTAGGGGTCGCGGGCCAAGACGCCCACGCGGTCTGTGCCTAATTTTGAGGGTGCATCGCTCAGGGTTTGTTGTTTTCTCCCCCTCTTCAATGTCTTATTTTGTATTCTGGGTTCTTGAGAACAAAAATAAACCTTCCAGAGCCCGTCCTCTAATTTGGGGCGATTTGGCGCCACTTTTTTGCGAGTGTTCCAAATGGAAGCTTTGCGTATTGATATGTTAGCAAAAATAAACCACTTAAAATATATATTTTGGCAGTGTTTTAATTAGTTGGATCTACTATTCCTGTTCTCTGCATGCGGTGTCATGTAGTTTTGAGTGGCCGGCCAATTTATAGTTTGAATAACCAACGTGCACAAGCCTAGAACGCAATGGCCAGTTGCAGATGTATAATTTATTTGCATCGCACATGACAATGATGAGCCATTTGCCATATAAACCATCAGTCGATCATGTATGTACATGTCAGGATCTGTTGCTTGGTGGAGAGTTGTGGGTATTAGTTTCGATGAATTCACTATTAAGTATGGCCACAACCAGAGTATGTAGAGAAACTAACACATTTGAGAAAAAAAAATCGGTAAGTAGATGATGACTCTTTAATAAACCTACTTTTTGCACTGATCTTTAAAAAACACTTCACAGCCCTGCAAATGGTTGTCTCAATTGCGATGACTATCTCCGAGTGATTCACCCACTCGGCCAAGGCAAATGCCCTCCTAACTTACCCAGGGCACTTGTCTACCTTCAACAAAGGGTTTGTGGACTATAATTTATGTTTCTGTTTCTCAGTAAAAAGATTCCGAGCGAAAAGTATGAGCAATACACCGAGAATCTGTGGAAAAAAAGTTTTTTCCAAAATGCGAGTTTTTTTTTTCTCACCAAATCTGGCTATCGCCTGATGAAGCTAGTTGTAATTACTGGCGAAACGTCGTACTCGGATTGTAAATGCTGTGGCTTGGCTCTCCAACACATCGGTGTGCCGTACTCGTCACGAATTGGCACGTTTTGTTTACGTGACAACCCTTACTAGTTGGCTGTGTTGGGTGGTGGCGGGTTTTAACGACACATATATTTACCCGATCTAACCCAAAAAAAACCTCCATTATCGTCTATTCTGAGGGAAAATGTATGGAGAAAATTACGCTGAGGAATGCATGGCTTGGAGTTGAAATTATAACATCTTGTTGACTGCAGAATAACACGAAATAGTTATTGAGCATCGTTGCAGAGAATACATATAACAAAATGGATGAGCTTTTGTCTTCCCCTCATGAAATGTAAAAAAAGTATTTTTTGCACAACCCATCGACCCCACGGCCTTCTGGGAGTGCATCATTTCGGCAGCATTGATTCAGTACAACCAAACTCTGGGCCAGTTTCGACGAAGAGTATCTCCTCAGTGCACACTGCTGAACACATTCCTGCGGAGGGAGCTGGTAGGAACGTTGGGTTGCTCGGTCAATGGCCAGGGTCAACGGCGGCGTGGTGTATTCCGCAAATATGCCGGACTGTGAGGGCGGGCACAAGCCGGCGTGATTAGGTTAAACGTTGAGTTTTATAAGGGCACCACGGGGTGACCAGCTTTTCCCCACCCAGCCCCACCCCTCCCACCCCCCACCCAGCCCCACGCTCCCCACCCAGCCCCTCTCCACCCTCCCCTCTCCACCCAGCCCCACCCCTCCCATTTTTGGATGCACGACGGACGGACGGACACAATAATCCCCTGTGGGCTGGTGGAACCAGGTGGTTCCTACCAGTATAAACCAACGTATGTCGAAATCCTGCTTACGTGCACCCCCAGAAGGCCGTGAGGCTGATGGATTGTGGAAAAAATACAGTTATGTTTTACGTGGAGAGACATGTATACATGATAAGTATTGTCTGCTTATATTTTTTGTTACGAAGAATCAGTGGGCTTGGGCAGGGCACGTCACTTCTAAGGGACGACGGCAGATGAACGAGACTGGTGACTGAACAGCAGCCAACTTGGAACTCCAGAAAGGACAACCTCCATGGCGATGCAGAAATTGTATTCTTGCGTATGGCGATAAATGTCAATGTCCGCCGTCTGCTATCCCCCTGATGGATTGCGCCAAAAGGAAGAAACCATCTTCCAGTAGCGGATAGACCATGGCTGGTGATGATGAATCATAGACCCGACTACATTTGTGTCAACGTTCAGCTTCCTTGCCCTCTTTTTTTTCCCCCAGCATCATTATATGTCCCATTACTCACGGCCGAGCGTGTATGAATCACGGCGCGTGGTTGCATGGACATCGCTCGAACACCCACACACTGGTGTCCTCCCCCCACCCACCCGTATCACCTGCACCACCCCCCCCTCCGCCCTCGTCATGAGACTCTTCTCACCCACCCCCAACCCCGCTTCCTCACAAGTGCCCACCTCGCTATGCCACCCCCCCTCTGCTCCCGGCACACAGCGAGACGCAGGCGACTGCCGCACCCTGTCACATCGCGGGCTGGCGGCACCGTGTGGATTTAATGGAAACGCCAGACTGCTCCAATAAAATATTTATCGGCGTCGAGCGAGTGAATTGGTTAAATAATTGATGGGGCGGACCGTGAGGAGCTGCGCCTCGGGCTTGGTGGCTGCTGCGTTAAGAGCTCTGGAGGATTGCGCAACCTCCTCCTCCTCCACCACCAGCACCACTGCAGTCGACCGCTTAAATATGGCGAGAGTGCACGACAACTTTTATCTGAAGTGAAAATAAGTATAACCCGTAAAAACAAAGTTTTTCACTCTACATCCTTTATATGCGTGGCGGCTAGAGTCCTCTCGTCCTCTAGCTTGAGATGGCTGCCACCTATGGGTCAGATGATTGTCTGCCAGTATTAAGCAATTGGTAATTAAATATTTAATTTGTTTTCCCTAAACAGTGTAAAATTTTGGAAATATTTTTAACGAACATTAATTGTCTCGCACAACGAGTCTGTGTGCAAAATGTCAGCTCGATTGGATCACGGGAAGTGGGTTAAAAAACGACCGAAAGATTTGCACGGTCGTAAGCAAGCAAGCGAACTTAATATAAAGGATTTAAAAAGTCGATCAACAAACACATCAATCGTCGAAAGGAGAGATTGGGGAGGGGGGCGGGTCGGGATTTTGAAAGTTGGGATCCCCACTCCGTCAGGTTTTAGAAGGGATGGCTGTCATTCTTATTTTGCCGTCACATGCTGATTACAATAATTAGTAGGCATCATCGTTATCTGCTCATGGAGCGATGCCATGCATTTCCTTGGCCGCTCACAATCGTCGTCATCCATTCATGAGTGACATCAATTCCACGATCACCAGCACTATGGTCATTATCAACTCGTGGGTGATTGAAAGTCCATCGCCACCACCATTATTGATCATTCCAATCATTATCACCATCATTCACGAATGACCACCACCAAAGTCCTCTTCATCGGCCGTTATCTGTCAACTGCCGACATGCAGGACTGTCAATGTTGATGCTATCCTTCACAGTTCTCTGATGCTACAGGTTATAAATACATTCTTGCCATTAAGAATCTACCAGACAATTGACATCGGAGTGAAAATATTTCCCTAACGAAATACCATCTGATCTGTTGTATCTGCAAGGGTTTCAATTGTATAAAGCATCTCAAGAGTCGTTTGCCAACAGAGACACGTGTTGAGCAACGTTTCGGTTGAAACTGGAGGCAGTGGCATACAACTGTCGTGTAAAAGTCGAGCATCTGTCGATTCTCTGTGCACAGTCCACCCACAGACCACCACCACGGTGGCGGTGGTGCTGGTGCAGTTGGGTGCAGCTGCGTATTCAATTCGAGATATGACGGGACTGGACTTGACTGGCAGAGACTAGTACTGGTCCTTCATGTCCGAGCTTTGGTGAACCGATGGGCAAGAATAATTTGGACCCTCCTTGGCTAGTAGAGCCCGATGCGTGTTGTTACGCAGGTACAGTACAGTCACTTGCCCCCTCCCCCCGTGTTCTCGTCTTGTTGAAACGGGCTCATCGGGAGCAGGGAGATGGG